TACTGTGTACATGGTACATGGAGTTACTGTGTACATGGTACATGGAGTTACTGTGTACATGGTACATGGAGTTACTGTGTACATGGTACATGGAGCTGCTATGTTTTTGGTCTGAGAAGTCTGTTAATGTTTGTATTCTTTGTTTCCCATTCCTATGCCTTTCTTGTAGACTTTTATTTTTTTATTTGGAATATAGAGAGGAGATGATGTGAAAAACTCTGGATGTGAAAAACTCTGGATGTGAAAAACTCTGGATGTTCTCCACTTTTGTATGTTTTGCTGTGGCTTGAAATAAGAGCCAGGTCCAACAATAAAGATATGGCATTTATTGATGCTCCTTACACTGTTTGTGTTTCTTGTTGGAGAATTGTGAATGTGATCAGTGTTGTGTCATAATTCTCTACTTGTGGGTGGTTGGCGGGTGCTCTGGTGTCGTTTGATCCTTCTTACCTTATCAATGTACTGAAAGTTATGAAAGTGAGCTGAAACCGTAGTCCCCAGAACATCCATGTCAATAGTATACAACTGAAACAGGTGAAGGAGTTTAAATATCTTGGCAGCACTTTTTTCTGAAAATGGGTCCACAGACAGAGAAATAGAAATGCGAACCCAAAAAGCCAACGCTGTCACCTACCAGCTCGCACCCCTCCTATCTCATCCAAACATCTCCATAGACACAAAGAGACAGCTTATCACCTCAATATTCATACAAACATTATGTTATCAGTGCCAGACCTGGACATTAAGTAAAACCCATGAAAGCAAAATCACCGCATATGAAATGAAATGTCTCCGCAAAACTCTTAACATCACAAGACGAGACAGGCAGAGAAATGAAGAAGTAAGAGCAGCTATCGGCACTGAGTCCTGCCTGCATTACATAGAAAGACAGAGAATAAAATGGTTTGGCAACCCTCAAAAAAAATAATAATACCCTACATTACATGATTTATTGTTATCAGATAAAAAATAAAATATTTATTGAAACAAAAACGGAACCTGAGTGACACAGAAATACATCAAATCACAACGAGAAACTTGGATGTCCACGACATGAACCCACAATCCCACCACCCTGACGCACAAACAGGAAGCAACACTCGCACAGCCAGCCTCCCAAGACAACACAAGACACATCTAGCCATCATCCCACATCCTGATAGACATGTGGAAGAAATAGGGGCCTACTTTAAAAAAAAAATAAGTAACATTTTCTGCGAAATTATTCTGTGATTCAACATGAGTAACGACAATGCGTATAGCAGAAGTCCAATGAGAGGCATCGTGGTGAAATCCGCCGCTTGTCAAAATAAGGAAATCAAAGAAAAAGACTTTTTCCATCCATTGGCCAATTTTCATTGAATTTTTTTTTTTAGCTCAATACCTTTTATATCCATTTAGCAACCCATTACTGTGTGGATTTTACTGAAAAATGTTCATCAACAAAGGCATAAAGAAAGGAAAGTTTCCTTTTTCAAGGACATGCAACTTTTGGAAGTCCGAACTGACCGCTGTCCATCCTCTTTCTCTCGGTGATCAGAAATCAAACATATACACAATGAAATCTCGGCAAAAGTACAATCTACTTCTTTTTTGTGATTTTCAACATCAAACAAGAAAACCTGTCACCCCCCAGCTAGTTTTGGTAATTCTGACACAGGGCTTCTCAATTTGATATTTTTCCACTGGGACGCAGTTTTCAGGAAGGTTTATAATTTATGACAGTTTCATCCCCCTGCGGGCAGATGCACAAAAATCTGGCTGTTACTCTCTATAGTACGGTCAAAACTGCATGGCACAACTTATCGTCAAATATCTCCTCAACTATCGCGCACATAGATTCTCCAACTTTTGCACAATGACTTATATCAATTTGTCTTAACAGGTGAATATTTTTTCAAACTCCTGAACACTGTATTCTACAAAATTCCTTAATATTAATACTAATTTAAAAATCCCAATCGATGGTTTCTACAGATTTTATAAAGTTTAAAGCTAGGCCAATATCGCTTTTAAAAGCAAGTCTTTGCCATGTTTTTCCAATCGGGACATTATGTTTATTGAACGCATGTTTTGAGAACTTTTAGTGCAAAAAAGTGTTCACTCTAAAATTAATTTCTTGTAACAAGTTTCGCCACTAAATGTGTCATAGGTGAGCTGTGACGTAGGCCATATGTGTATACAAAATGTGTGTGAGAAGCGGGAAGTGCTGTGAACAATTCCATTTTCCACGTGAAGGAGATCTATAGTATTTTAGATAAATTCTTGAGGAAAAGTTTTATAAAATAGCCTCAATTGTGGAGGACGAATATGATTAAGTTAACTCATTCGCTACATATTATTTTCGGCTCGCGGACGAATTTTTTTCAGGAGCGCGAAATGAGATGGTCGCAGTAGGTCTTTGGGGCCACAAATTCCAATAAATATCAACACATTATCTGCCCCCGTTGTTTTATGCAAGAAAAATTCTGAAATTATGCAGAATGAGCCCAAAAATGTGAAATTATGCGATTCTGTTAATTTCAACAAAGAATGATAAAGAAAAATAATCAGAAATTATGCAAAAAATGATCAAATTTTGCTAAATTATGCGGGGTGCATAAAACCACGGGGATAGTTTTATGTACCAAAATTTTCAGTATGGTTTGTAGAATACATCTGTGATGTTTATAAGTGTATTTTTCAACTTTGGTACCTGCAAGAGGCGATTATGCAACACATTTTTGCTTTGATGCGGAAAAAATTGGGAAATAAAAAAATTAATAATTTTGGGTGAAACTCAACAAATATGTTTGCACCTAGTCAAATGATACATCAAAATAACCATAAATAAATATAGAACAGGAAAATATTGAAAAATTTGCAGTTATTTATGTACATTCCATAAAATTCGTACATTTGGATCATAACATCCGATATTGAAAAAAAACCTTTTTTTTATAATCTTGAAAAAGTAGAAGGTGCATTCACATTCAGAAAAAAACCCACTCCTATCTTATATGGATTCAGAATTGAACATTTGAAATAAAGCTATAGATCTACATGTCTTGAGAGGTATGTTTTGTGTAATTTCACCAGAAAATTTATAGGGATTTTAGGGAGAGAAAAAATACCTAGACAATTTTGATCTAGACCAAGATCTAGCACTGAAAATTACTAATTTCTCAGTAACAGATCTTTGGCAGTTTGTGTCGAATAGTATCAATATTCTAAAGAAGAGTCCTACATTTCTTTAGTGAGCAAAATAATGATAGATTTTGTTGTGTAAAAGTACTAAGACTGGTGTCTGGGCTATAATTTTGGCATCACGATAAAACAAAGTTGCTTAAACTTCGACATCGTGTTTCAAAACTAAATCAAAATTTTTGATTTTCGGTGGAAATGTGTGACCCGGAAATCAATGTTACATTATAACTTTTATTTTAACATGGATATGTGGATTGGAATAAAATCTAAGCTAGAATTATAGGTCGGTCCTCGAGCCGTTGGGGGCGGCTTAGCGAATGGAAGACACTTTTGCCGCGCCCCTGCCCACGGCTTGGTAGCGAATGAGTTAAGACAAATTGATACAAACTGCTGTGCAAAGTATGGGTGACATTGATTCACCCATTTAAAAAGATATTTGAGGACAAGTTGTTTCACAGATTTTTGACTGCACTATAGTAACACCTCTAGCCTTCAGAACTTATACCACACACAATATGTGTAGGAAGTGCCATAAAGCTCTTACGAAAATTTTACTTTTTGAACAAGACAATTTGCTTTTAAAAAACAACAAGAGATCTAGGAAAAAAATTACAACGAAGACAAAAATGGTGTTTTGATACATGTATTTTAATGTAAACTTAATGGAAATATCTACAACAGTAGTTCAAGGTGTAGAACACAGAACAGAACAATTCATGAAATCTTTCCGTCTGGACGGAGCAACTCTCTGAGAGGAGAAGGGTGCTACAACAAGGCTGTTCAAAGATCAAATGTTGAAGTTTTCTTTTATTAATATTATGTACATACATGTATGTATTTGTTGTTTTTTTACCTTTGAACTCCCAATACACCCCAGCGTAAAGTAAAAATAGTTCCCAGCTACATTTTACAATTTGCAGTTGCTGAATGAATCACCAAAAGCTGTGAAGAACAAACCACAAGGATGATTTCCATCTCTCCACCAAATCAGAACCCAGGCAGAATAGGAAGAGGACGATAAATTGTCTCTTGCAATCTCCTGAAAAAATTCTTCAAAAGTACAGCGTAGGAGATCAAAACACAGCCCCCACCCCCTTCCCCTCCCCCCTTTCTGTGGTTGATAGGAGGGGGCCGTTGCTTTTTCATTTCCCTCTGAAATTAATTTCTGTGTGTTTGTCTCACTCTCTCACCAGTAAGTGATCATTTACATGATATATATATAAACTGTACTTGTATATCTGTCTAATTTTTAAAAAACTCACCCTCCCCCTTCCCCCAACCACATAGAAATATTCAAATTTCAAAGAAAACACTGAACAACAATTCATCATTTTTCCATACGTTGTGTTTTGGCAATTATCCTCTCAGGTGTTGACGCTTGGTACAGCTCACATCTATCTAGCGGGCGTTTGGAGGGCACCACTGGTACATGCTTTCCCATTTCTGTCCCTCTGTTCTTCCTGTTCGTCTGTCTCACCTTTTGCATGCACTAAATGATCGTTACATCGTCGATGAGCTTCTCTTTACCTCCGACTCCAACAAAACATCCCATGATTCCCCGCACTAGACAAGGAATCTGCATCACGTAAAGAATTTCTCAAGCGTACGTGAGAACCTTCGTGGCTTTGAGGAGTTGATGCACGCAGTCGACAAACTGGAAGTTGGTTTCCTTGACCCTTGCTTGCGCTGTTTCACTCGTTATTTCCTTCATCAGGTGGTAAATGTTGGACTTGAACTGTTGACAAACACCAAACAGATATGTTGTTTTAGTACATCTAGTTAGGGTTTATGCCGCTCACAACAGCATAAGGTCATGAGCGCATTCAGATGTACCAGCATTCAAATTCACAATGAAAAAATCTGAGAAAAGTTAGTAATTCTTTTTTTTTTGGTAGTAGTTTGGAAAGAGTGGTAAAATCCTGTGAATGGTAAGGGAAGGACTTTGTTCCAGCACACTATACTTGACCAAACTGCCTGCTCGTTTCTCATCTAATATTTATTTCTTGTCAAGTTGTAGATAAGTCACACGATTTTGCTCGCTTCCAAAAATAAGACTGACACTCTTCCAACTAACGCTGTATGGAATGTTACGTAAGACTAATGATGTATGGGATGTGAGATGAGAAGTTTTTCACACAAATATCTGTACAGCTACATGCTAGGTAGCAGTCCTGCTTTTTTTAAAAATAGCTTCTGACCTCGAAACCAACTCCCTAAGTTATAGTACAAACCAACAGCAAGAAAGGACTTCTAAAGGCTTCGATCTACACTCCTTGGGTATAAAAACTTGGAACTAACTACTTCCAAAAAGAAACACAACTGAAACACAGTCGAAACTTTCACTAACGGTCACCCTTCCAAAACTATCACGCGATATAAACAACCTCTTTCCACTTCCCTGATTGTGTTTTTTTCTCTTTAAGAATGACACTGTTCAAGTTGTCCTTCTGTCTATCACAATATTGACACTGTTCAAGTTGTCCTTCTGTCTATCACAATAATGACACTGTTCAAGTTGTCCTTCTGTCTATCACAAGAATGACACTGTTCAAGTTGTCCTTCTGTCTATCACAAGAATGACACTGTTCAAGTTGTCCTTCTGTCTATCACAAACACTTTCCACTTTCACTCTTTCTTTTTTTCTCTATTATAATGATTTTATTCAAGTTGTCCTTCTGTTTATCACAACCACTTCCCACCCCCCTGCTAGTGTTTTTCCTGGAACAATGACACTGTACCACACATCCACCTGTCTATCACAACCACTTCCCACCCCCCCCTGCTAGTGTATTTTCAGGAACAATGACACTGTACCACACATCCACCTGTCTATCACAACCACTTCCCACCCCCCTGCTAGTGTATTTTCAGGAACAATGACACTGTACCACACATCCACCTGTCTATCACAACCACTTCCCACCCCCCTGCTAGTGTATTTTCAGGAACAATGACACTGTACCAAACATCCACAACCACTTTTCTCCTCAACAATAGGAACAATGCACAAATTGGTGTCTGGAGATTTTCCAACGGACGTTCGGAATGTTGAGGAATATCTATTGGAGAAGATAATGTTGCAAGTTTTGTGCAATACCTGGGCACGCATACTATTGCAACAATATTACTACACTGGCATTTTCAAAACTGTTCGAGTTGTTATGGTAACATGATTGTTGAACTCAGTATTTTCTTTTATGTAATGTACATGTACTGGCTTCAAAGATAAGAAATTGATAGCGTGACCAAAATAAATGATGCTCTTGTTACATCAATTGTTTCATCGTTATATTACATTATAATAATAACAAGTTTGAGCAATAAAATCCAATTATGATAAGTTTTACAATGCTGCAGCCTAGAACTCTAGAACTAAGAGACAATTGCTTTTATTTCAAGGAAAAGAACCTTTAGATACTCCAACACACACAGCTTGCCACGTCCCGGAGTTTTTCATTAATCACAACAAAGTATTTCTTCAGAGAAAAAATAAACACAGACAAAGCGGACAATTGACATCACTTCCACCAACCCTCAATACAATTCCAAACCAAACTAACAAAACAAAAACTTGAGAAAAATACAGAATTCAACTGAACAATAATAATAACAGAAATTTTTTTTTTTTAAATGAGAGGGAAAAAAATGTTTCAAAATATTAAATTATCAGCAATCTTCACCACGCAGTTTCCATAGGGGCAGCAATACGGTCAAATCTATACCGCCAGTAAATAATGTTCTATTTCAGGTAAGTTAGCATACTTCTGTCGAAATAGTGGGTGGTTGGTGGGTGTACTTCAGTCAAGATAGTGGGTGGTTGGTGGGTGTACTTCAGTCAAGATAGTGGGTGGTTGGTGGGTGTACTTCTGTCGAGATAGTGGGTGGTTGGAGGGCACTCTGAGGGTGTTTACATCTGTCATCTTTATCTCTCCTCATATCCCTCTTTGTATGTTACTCTCAAAACATAATATGTTTTTAAAAATTGCTTCAAGCTGTTCCAGGCCTTTTGAAAAAGAGCAGACAGATATTATATATATTATTTTCCCAGTGCTAGGAAGAAGTAAGATGAGTAAAGGAAGGAGTGTGGAGTGAGAGAAAAGATCCATTCACAAGGAGTAAAGGAAGGAGTGTGGAGTGAGAGAAAAGATCCATTCACTAGGAGTAAAGGAAGGAGTGTGGAGTGAGAGAAAAGATCCATTCACTAGGAGTAAAGGAAGGAGTGTGGAGTGAGAGAAAAGATCCATTCACTAGGAGTAAAGGAAGGAGTGTGGAGTGAGAGAAAAGATCCATTCACTAGGAGTAAAGGAAGGAGTGTGGAGTGAGAGAAAAGATCCATTCACTAGGAGTAAAGGAAGGAGTGTGGAGTGAGAAAAAAGATCCATTCACTAGGAGTAAAGGAAGGAGTGTGGAGTGAGAGAAAAGATCCATTCACTAGGAGTAAAGGAAGGAGTGTGGAGTGAGAGAAAAGATCCATTCACTAGGAGTAAAGGAAGGAGTGTGGAGTGAGAGAAAAGATCCATTCACTGGAAGCAAACCCATCCAACCAACCACGTCCACAGACTAGAGCGGAGACCATTGTTTCATTGACCAAACAGTACAGCCAAGTATTTCTCGGTGACTACGGTGTGACTCATCTTTCCATCATTTACCAAAAGGAAATCTTTCTGCACACACCCATGATCTTGTTTGGTTCTCCACTCATGTTTCTACGAGGAGGCTCTCCAAAAACTTGAATGTTACTTCCCTCATAGAATTTTATTTTTGATGTTTGCTCATATAGATCTATATATAAATACAAAGCACAAAATTTGAACACAACGAACCCACTTTTGAATAACAAAAAAAGAACAAACATTCAAAACTGAGATGAAATACCGGTGATTCTTCCACATTGAACGTAGTATGGAACTGAAATATAGGCTCCTCTTCTATGAAAGGAGAGGCTATTCTCGAGCCCGGGGTAGAAGATTTCCCAGATTTTCTCCCGTGAAGTTTCCGCCTACTCTCATGACCGTTGCCAGACACAACAGACAGCAGCTGTTTTGATTTCCCTTTGGACGAAGCCCTCGAGACATCCACAGACTCTGAAGCAGACGGCGCCGGCTTGAGGCTTTTCTTCGTGGATCGACGTCTGTCTATTGACTCTTTCACTTTCAGTGAATGCTTTTGCCTTGGGTTTTCGTCCACAATGAAATCTATTGTGCCAGGATCCAAAAGCTGTACAGGCAATTGTGCAGGAGAAGGTCATTGAAGAAAAGGCAAAACTTACGGAAGTTCAAAGTCTCACGTTGTACACAGAAACAATTTTTATATTTTTTGGAAGCACAGTATTCAGTTCTTGGCATGAGCTCATGCAAACAGGAAATATTCTGGACGGTGAGGAGTGTAAACTTTATGCTTCGCAGGAAGCCCAGAATGTTTCTGAATTTTCTACGGTCTGCCCGAGTTATAAAAGTTGTAAAGTGTGTCTCAACAGTTGACCCACAATACACCGACTGAGGCCAGTCAGGGGGAAAAGTAGATTTGTTTTTGTTGTCTTCTTGTGAGGATGTCTGTGAGTGTTAGCCAGCGGGTTGTGTAGCTGTGTCGTGTAGCTGTGCTGTGTCACTCAGTGTGTTGAGTGGCTGTGCTGTGTTGCCCAGCGTGTCGTGTAGCTGAGCTGCGTCCAGTGTCGGTTCACCTAGCTATGTATTAATGTCAGTCGCAGTCCAGCACTTGAACTAGTCCAATACTTTGTATTTAACACTTTGCAGTCACATCTGGTCACCCAGCCAGGAGTACAAAATTCCCCATCTGGTCACCCAGCCAGGAGAGAGACTACAACAGACTTCTCGGGCCTGGCACAGAACTGCCTCAGGTGACCAGAACGGAGAATTTACACCATCGCATTATTGCGCCAAGCGACGCGACGCAAAGTGTTAATAAAACCAAACTTCCGAGTGTGCCTCATCCGTCTTGCTTTACGACATCCACATCGTTTTCACAACTACAGCTGGTAGTTGAAAAAAAACTAGCAAGACTAATATTTTTTACAGGCTGCACAAAACCCCAGTCAGAATGTCGTTAGTACCATGTTGACCCGCGTGCCACAGTCACACAGCCACAGACCACAACTAACCACACATGCTTCTCTTATGCTGAGTACGTATCTAGCTAAATATTACTATTGTTCATGTTACAGTTCATTTATATTATGAATATGACTGTAAGCCTGCATGTGTGTGTGTGTGCGTGTGTGTGTGCGTGTGTGTGTGAGTGTGTGTGTGTGTGAGTGTGTGTGTGTGAGAGTGTGTGTGTGAGTTTGTGTGTGAGTGTGTGTGTGAGTGTGTGTGTGTGTGAGTGTGTGTGTGTGAGAGTGTGTGTGTGAGTTTGTGTGTGAGTGTGTGTGTGAGTGTGTGTGTACGTGGTGAAACACCAAACCAATGTGCCAGGATCTGGAAAATAAAGATGTATCTTACCTTATCTTATCCTACCTTATCTTATCTTGTCTGTCATAACTCTGCGGCAAAACGCTAAGCCTCATCTCAAAACTTCATCATTGTTGCTTCATCACATCCTTGCTAATTAGCAAGAAAGACACCCTGATCAGTTGATAAGTGCTCTGGTGTGGTCTGCTCTTTTTTCCTATCTAACATCTATTGTCCAGATCTCTCCTGCTTCTTTTTTTGTATTTGTTAGTCTCTTGCAACACCTCTAACCTTCAGCATTTACATGATCTGATTGAGTGGCAAGCACCGTAAAACACTTGCTAAAACAAGAGAGACGCTCTGACCCTCCCATCGCGAGAGTTCTTACCTCTCCATCGCCCTCCGGATCCTCGTTGAAGGTCTCGTCAAACTCGGTCATCTTGAGCTTCATCACTCGGCGCTTGGTGGCCAGCAAAACCCACCAGTCCTCCTGTCAGACAAACAGGAAGAAGGGAACTGTGAGATATCGAGGTGAAATCAGGCGCTCGGCAAAATCATGAATTGTGAGATATCGAGGTGAAATCAGGCGCTCGGCAAAATCATGAATTGTGAGATATCGTGGTGAAATCAGGCGCTCGGCAAAATCATGAATTGTGAGATATCGAGGTGAAATCAGGCGCTCGGCAAAATCATGAATTGTGAGATATCGTGGTGAAATCAGGCGCTCGGCAAAATCATGAATTGTGAGATATCGAGGTGAAGTCAGGCGCTCGGCAAAATCATGAATTGTGAGATATCGAGGTGAAATCTGGCGCTCGGCAAAATCATGAATTGTGAGATATCGAGGTGAAATCAGGCGCTCGGCAAAATCATGAATTGTGAGATATCGAGGTGAAATCATGAATTGTGAGATATCGAGGTGAAATCAGGCGCTCGGCAAAATCATGAATTGTGAGATATCGAGGTGAAATCAGGCGCTCGGCAAAATCATGAATTGTGAGATATCGAGGTGAAATCAGGCGCTCGGCAAAATCATGAATTGTGAGATATCGAGGTGAAATCAGGCGCTCGGCAAAATCATGAATTGTGAGATATCGAGGTGAAATCAGGCGCTCGGCAAAATCATGAATTGTGAGATATCGAGGTGAAATCAGGCGCTCGGCAAAATCATGAATTGTTAGATATTGTGGTGAAATCAAACGCTCATCAAAATCATGAATTCAAAGAAATCATCATTTTTTGGGGGCAATCGGCCATTTTTTTCTAATTTTTTTTTTTTTTGGCTCAACTTGGTTTTATTTGTAAAGCATCGTGATAAAATCAAGCGCTCGTCAAAATAATGAAATGGCGAGAAACCGGCATTTTTCCACAGGTGATGTAGTTTTTATTTAATTTTTTTTCTTATCTTAACACTTTTTATGGCCATTTTAAAAACACATTTTTGAGTAGATTTTACTGAAAGATATTGATTTAGAGCACAAACAATGTAATTTTCAGTTTCCGAGAAATCTCAGGCTATGGAAGTTACCAAACTTTGGTGGCCATATTCTCAGTAATTTTACCTTCAAAATCAAGCGACCCTAACCTCCTTCTATAGCAAATACTTCAACTTCTATTCAGCATACGTGGATTTTTTTCCACCAAAAGGAACGCAAATGAACAGGATTTGCGGCTCGCGGACGTGGCCTCTCTGGACCGAGAGTCGCAAAATACGGCTCGAGTGGCTCCCTATCAATTCCTATCCAGTAATGAAAAAGCACGAAATAAGTGTGTTTCGTTGGATGTTTTGACATTTTCCGTTGGTGGGGTAGGGACGTAAAAATATGTCAAGGAAAAACCCTGGGCCTGTGGTGGATTTTGATACCAATAACCCCATATGCCCAAAAATTGACAAGCGCCTGATACCATCATGTCATGACACAAACATGAACTGTCTTACACCCCCATCAACACAATATAGGCTGCCAGTCCACGGGATGGTTCACCCCAGTAATGCTGAGTGTCTAGCACAAGCCTCACTTGATGAGCCACCATAACCCCTGATCATAAGACAGATCTACCATGAGGCCTGTGCAGGGTAGATTTATACCATCACTCCCACCCCCTCTC